CTGGGTCTAGGAATTCAATGGATTGTACCATGGATCCCAAACATTAGATTATGCTAAAATTGAACCCACAATGCATAATTTATCTCTATATGTTAATAATATTCACCGTGTGGAAGTTTTAAACAAATGTCGCACACGGTTGACGGTTGTAAAGTATTTAGTTGCTTACATTGGTTTTGCAACCTAAATAACTGGAGTAGGATTTTAAAGGTTGTTTTGGATGCATAGTTGGACCTTATACATATTGGATTCCATTATGTTTTTCCTGGATTGAATTGAAGAGTTAGTTATATAATTTCTGTCAATTTACATGGATGTTGGTCTAGTTTTAATTACAGAATAGATAAATTACATTTTGTTAGTTACGTGGATATATATTAGACTTTGAATTGATAAATTTAGTATATCTTGTCTCATCAATTACTTGGATGGATACTGGATAATTAACTTGATGAACTGTTAGACCTTGTCTTGTTAGTTACGTGGATGGATTCTGGATTATAGATGATGAACTGTTTAGATTCTGTTTATTATCTATTTGGATTATATGGATGTGTTTGATGTACTATATAAAATGTTGCATCATTTATGGATCATTTGCATTATGTGTACCGGTATGGGACAGTGACATATCAGGGATGGATTAGATCAAAAAGCTAAGTCCTACCCCTTCATACATACGGAATGGATTAACTAAAACAGTTAACTCCTACATGGATGCGTGTCCTGTCAACTAAAATAGTTGAACGACATAACGGATGGTTGTTTATATTTTTTGTAGTAAAATGGATAGGGATTTAACTAAAACACTTAAATCCTAATTTTATGTTGTGTCATGGCAACAAACTGTTGAGCGGCACTACGTTGGTTTGGATGGAATTTACATATATAAATTATGGTACCGTGATCTGAGCTTGAGTCTCATAGTCGACGGTTAGGGTGTGTTTATGCAGTAGGATGCGTAGCTAGCTATGTTGGTTGAGGTATACCTTGTTAGGCTTAGGTAGTCATGCTTATTCGGGTGCGTATTACATGTTGCCTTCTATTCAGGTTGAGACCCTCAGCATAGTTCAGTGAGAGTCCTGTAGTGTGGATATATATTTATCTATTACGGACTATATAGATATGGTTGAGACATCTAGAATGTATCTGCGTATCGGGTGTCTGTTTGGATTGTAGTTAGGATAGAACTTGTTCGTGGGCCTGACCCATTATTATTTTTCAAGTAACGGATGGTTCCAGGTCTTAGATCTTGGTCATGCTGAGCAGAGACGGCTTCTCATTCTTCCGACGACGTAGAAGCTTCTTCATGTTTTAGCAGTGGATTTCTTCAGCTGATGATTTCAGTGTTGGAGTTTGTAAGGGTCCACCAGATGGATTCCCAAGTTGTATTAGAAATGGAGAATTTGGATGTATCAGAATAATTCTTTATTAATTTAATTTTACTATGAGGTTTCAGTATTTGGATTATCATTCTAGTTTCTTTTCAGCAAATTTTTATTTATTCCTATTCCCTTATTTGTATTCTGTTTTCGTTTATTGCTAATTAGTTTGATATCCTCGGGTAATCGGGTGTTGGCTTGGCTAACCTGTATCCGGAAATCCGGGTGTATCATAGTTGGTATCAGAGCACTCCAGGTTCTATTGTCCTTAGGAGTGTTTTCGTTATAAGACTTCCGCGTTGCGTCTCTTAAAACTTAGAGCCATGTTAGGATTCGTTGTACTCTATTTGCAGTTCGTTAGGAGGAGTTGATGTCAATTGAATTATGTGGAAACAGAATGGTTGACACTAGGAGGAGGATGGGGTTCACGGCGAAAGCGATACGGACCCAACGGCGTGAAGGAGTACGTTGTCGAGTTCTTTGGCAGAAATAGAACTTGGGAAATAAGGTAGTTTTGAGGTTGGCATTGCTTGGGAAGTATACGCTAAGAACTGATTAAGGTGTAGGTGTTAGGTCAGCGCATAACAGGGCCAACACAACTTCAGTTGTTCTCAAAAAGGAGGTAAGCGAAGAGTAGGATTCTGAAGAAGATCCTAAAGGAGGAGATATCAGCGTCTCCAAGAAAGGGGATATTGAAGCTTAAAGATAAAGGATCGTACGAAGGTGCTCACATTCACCAATAGTATAGTGAATGGTACCAGTGGAGTTGGTGTGAACCAATCTATATATAGTTAATGTTTCGTAACATCTCTCTGGGAGTTATTTGCGAAGTACTCTTTAGGAGTTTGGGAATCGGATAGAATTCTTACCAGAACAAAGACATGATTTTATAACACAATTCGGAGAGTATGGGGATTAGGTTGTGACATTCTAACTTGGTTTATAAAGCCATGATAGATGGTTTACATTCCGCATATTAGGAGGAGAGGGTTAAGCCTTTGGATATTTGTTTAAGCAAACGATTGTGCAGTTAAGCTACGGTTAATGGATAAGTTTCAAGGTTGGATAATTACCAATGAAACTTTGGAATGAACTTTTGCGAACTTGAGTTCAAAGGAGGTTTTCTTCTCTGGAATGGAATATGTCTTAAGTGGAGTTATATTTTGGTTGTTTTGTGTATTGTGTGTATTACGTGTTTCATCTTTGATTGTTATGTGTTTCAGTTTTGTTCTTTCGTGTTTCATTTTTGTTAATTAGTCCAGATTGGGAGTATGGATTGGTTGGGAACACAAGTATGTGATCAACCAACAATTATGTTGATGACATGGGTAGTAACGCTATGTACGTTAGGATTTGTGAAAGTATGGTCATAAGATTGGGTAGAAATACAAACTTCTAGCCAATCTAATAGATCTGGATATGAGGGTGGTAGAACTCTATTTCACGAACAGTGAGTTTTTGAGAGAAAATAGAGAGAAGGAGAATTAGGGTTTCGGCCAAGAACCAAGGTTGAACCAAGGAGAGGAAGAAAAGGTGTTGCTCGTGGGTTGAACTTGGGGCAACAAAGGAGTAGACGACAGTCGAGAGGTCGCCGGAAAGTCAGGACAGAGGACGGTTAAAGGTTTCAAACCAAAACTACAGAGGTAAGTTCTATTCTGTCTCTCTCCCTTTGCCTATGTTCTGTGCATCGTTAGATGATCTCTAGGATTGTAATTGAATATTTATTGAATCTTATATGATTGGTATATGTTAATTGGATCATCTGTATATGTGCATATTGTCTGAAAAAAAATATACTTGAAAATCTGTTCTTCGTTGTCTGTTTCAAAGTAAACAAATTTGGTGTTGATTTAAATCATTGTATTAATTCTTACTGTGAAAGCTAAGGACTTGGGATTGATATTGGATGTTTATTAAACTATTAAGACCAATTTTAAGGAAGAATAGAAGGGTAGGAACGAACCGGAGACGGAGTGGATGATCGAAAACGAAGCTGGAAGGGTACTGGGCTCTCAAGGAAAGAGAGAGCCTGCTCCAGGAAGTTGGGAGCTAGCTCCCCCCTTCATTGAGCCGGCTCCAAGGGCAAGGGAGCTGGCTCTAAGGTGTTTTAGAGCCTGCTCAATTTTTTTAGAGCAGGCTCAATTGGTTAGTCTTCGTTTGGTTGCAATCCGGAACAGTTTTGGGAACTTTCAGGCACTGTTTGGGTCCAATTTTGGTTTTCTAAACTGTGTTGGAGTGGGGAGAGGTTTTTAAATATTAATTCATGAGGTTCTAATGCCCTAGTATGCAACAAATTAGTTATGCTATTGTTTTCTTAAAACGACATGTAAAATTTAAAACAAGTCGCATGCTGTTCACAGATGTAACGGATAGAGTGGATTTAATTGGTTCAACTGGGTCTAGGAATTCAATGGATTGTACCATGGATCCCAAACATTAGATTATGCTAAAATTGAACCCACAATGCATAATTTATCTCTATATGTTAATAATATTCACCGTATGGAAGTTTTAAGCAAATGTTTCTCACGGTTGACGGTTGTAAAGTATTTAACTGCTTACATTGGTTTTGCAACCTAAATAACTGGAGTAGGATTTTAAAGGTTGTTTTGGATGCATAGTAGGACCTTATACATATTCGATTCCATTATGTTTTTCCTGGATTGAATTGAAGAGTTAATTATATAATTTCTGTCAATTTACATGGATGTTGGTCTAGTTTTAATTACAGAATAGGTAAATTACATTCTGTTAGTTACGTGGATATATACTAGACTTTGAATTGATGAATTTATTATATCTTGTCTCATCAGTTACTTGGATGGATACTGGATAATTAACTTGATGAACTGTTAGACCTTGTCTTGTTAGTTACGTGGATGGATTCTGGATTATAGATGATGAACTGTTTAGATTCTGTTTATTATCTATTTGGATTATATGGATGTGTTTGATGTACTATATAAAATGTTGCATCATTTGTGGATCATTTGCATTATATATACCTGTATGGGACGGTGACATATTAGGGATGGATTAGATCAAAAAGCTAAGTCCTACCCCTTCATACATACGAAATGGATTAACTAAAACAGTTAACTCCTACATGGATGCGTGTCATGTCAACTAAAACAGTTGAATGACATAACGGATGGTTGTTTATATTTTCTGTAGTAAAATGGATAGGGATTTAACTAAAACACTTAAATCCTAATTTTATGTTGTGTCATGGCAACAAACTATTGAGCGGCACTGCGTTGGTTTGGATGGAATTTATATATATAAATTATGGTACCGTGATCTGAGCTTGAGTCTCATAGTCGACGGTTAGGGTGCGTATATGCAGTAGGATGCGTAGCTAGCTATGTTGGTTGAGGTATACCCTGTTAGGCTTAGGCAGTCATGCCCTCTTAGGTGCGTATTGCATATTGTCTTCTATTCAGGTTGAGACCCTGTACATAATTCAGTGAGAGTCCTGTAGTGTGGATATATATTTATCTATTACGGACTATATAGATATGGTTGAGACATCAAGGATGTATCTGCGTATTGGATCTCTGTTTGGATTGTAGTTGGAATAGAACTTGTTCTTGGGCCTGACCCACTATTATTTTTCAGGTAATGGACGGTTCCAGGTCTTAGATCTTGTTCATGCTGAGCAGAGACGGCTTCTCATTCTTCCGACGATGTAAGAGCTTTTTCATGTTTTAGCAGTGGGGTTCTTCAGTTGATGATTTTAGTGTTGGAGTTTGTAGGGGTCTACTAGATGGATTCCCAAGTTGTATTAGAAATGGAGATTTTGGATGTCTCAGAATAATTCTTTATTAATTTAATTTTATTATGAGGTTTCAGTATTTGGATTATCATTCTAGTTTCTTTTCAACAAATTTTTATTTATTCCTGTTTCCTTATTTGTATTCTGTGTTCATTTATTACTAATTGGTTTGATATCCTCAGGTAATCAGGTATGGTCCTGGCCAACCCACATTCGAAAATCCGGAGGTATCACATCCTCACCCTTAGCTCGCTTGCCATGTTCTGGTCTCTGTTCTATGTTCTGCATTTTGTGGTTCTTCTTATTTCTAGGATCTTTTTATGATGTTTTGTGGAACTTTGCTCTACCTTATTCGGTTGACCATTTTGGCGTTTCATTCCCTATTGTAAACATGTCAACCTGATTTTCAATGGAAATTCCTATTTTTATTTTCTTCCTAACTGTTTATCTGTATTGCATATTTCATTGTTATTTCTGTCTTTTGTATCTTTTTCCATCTATTTCTCCCAGCCTTCCCTTTGCAGGTTATACATTTCAAGTTTGGGGGCCTGTTTTTCTTGGACTTTGCACCGGAGCATTTTGTCACATCACCATGCAATTTCCTCCTATTCTTGGTATTTTTGTTCTTGTTACCCTCTCTAATTTTTAGTAACCGTTCGTTGTCTTCCCACATTGCGGACAATGTGCCATTCAAGTTTGGGGGTGCAATATTGCATTTTTGGTACTACATTTTTGGTTGCATAATTTAGCTTGGTTCATATAAAGTAATAAAATCATTTTTTGTAAAGCAATGATAATGTAATCTTGAAGCTTGTTGGAGATGCAGCATATGTTTAATACCTTGTGTATAGAAGCAATTGTTAAGTTTTGAAAATAAAGAAAAATTTGAAAAGATCACGTGAATTCGAATTAGTCTGTATAAATGTTTCAATTAGATTCTCGTTGGATTTTATACTCTTTTATGCTTCACATTGCACAGATGCACACTGGAAACTTAACTGTGAGGCATGCAACTTGATTGACCTTGACCTTGACTTAGTTGATTTGAATTAATGAACCTAATGGACGAATATCTTTGGCATGTAAGTTCAAAAAAAAAAAAAAAAAAAAAAAAAAACAAAGCTATTAATGACAATGACCGGTTTGAGTTTGTAACCTTTTCAACTTAAGTTCTTAAGCCCTAGGAGTGTCTCTACACTTAACACCCTAAAGCCATCTGGTTTGGGAGTTGTTGGCCTAACGCTTGTTATGTGAGTTGTTTAGAAAGCTTAAAAAACTTAGACATTGCACGATCATTAAAAAAAATAATAAACATAGTCCGTTGGAGTTCGTAACCTTTCCAACTTAAGTTATTAAGCCCTAGGAGTGTCTCTACACTTAACACCCTAAAGCCATCTGGTTTGGAAGTTGTTGGCCTAACACTTGCTACATGAGTTGGTTAGAAAGCTTAAGGGACTTCGGCATTACACAAGCATAATATGTATCATCTTGAGTTATAATAAATTTTCAGCAAGCAGCAAAAGTTGTATTGTAAATAAATTCATGCCTTAGTGACTTCATTTAAAAGGGAATTCAATGATGTGAAGACTTGTGTCTTGAAATTGGAAAGAAAAGGTTAAAGCCACATGTTGGGAAATCCGGTTCACTTTCACTGAAGTTAGAGTTGATTTTTATTCCAGAGATAGCAATTGAGTTATTTATATAGACTGTGATGTTGTTGCATGGATGTTGAAATATATTTAACCATTTATTTTTGTATCAAGGCTTCATATATGCAAGGTAGTCTGCCTAAAGATCCCGTCTCCTATCTTCTATCTGTTTCAAGTTATATTTGAGCTATGCATGTAATCTATTTCACCATGGTTGATATTTTTGGGAAGCATTCCATTAGTTGTCATTTCATTGAGTGTTTCATTTTGGTTTTTACTATGGGACTAGCAAAATATAAGTTTGGGGGTGTGATAAGCGCCAAATATTGCATATTCAGGCGCCCTTATTTGCATTAGTTAGGTCCATTAGTGGTTAAATTGTATAGTTTTTCTCTAAGTTCTGTGTTTCTATGTATTTTCAGGTTTCTCTTCCAAATTGGAAATAAGATGGAAGTTTTTGAAGCTTTTTGTAAAGATCAAGCCATTCTGGGTTGTTGCATCTGGAGATTTCTGAGAAGAATCTACTAAAGGAGGTCCATGAAGCCTTTTACGATGAAAAAGAGGGCATATGATTCTCAATGGGCCAGTACCAATTCCAAAAAGAAGAAGTCTAAAGCAGAAGGAGCAGAAGATGCAATTTGAGGCATCTTCGAGGGCTCGTAGCACCACCTACGAGCGCTCGTCCGGCATCCAAGTGTGTTATTCCGTGTCTCACGAGCACTCGTAACACCTACGAGCGCTCCAAATCAAGGCAAAATGGTTTAAGGCATTTCGAGTGCTCTTATTTCAGCTTCGAGCGCTCCAAATCAAGGCAGTATGAATTTAAGCAGCTACGAGCGCTCATAACTCCTTTTTTGAGTGCTCGTCCATAGTCTCGAATAAGAAGAATTTTCCCTAAGGCAACTACGAGCGCTCGTAGCTCCACTTACGAGCGCTTGTAGGAACATGGCAGACCCACTTGGCTCCTTAAACCTTTCAATTGGTTTCCCTCCTTTATGGGGTGGTTGGAAATGTTCTTTTGGGGAGCATGAACCTCGGTTTTTGGGGGGTTTGGTAGACATCTTGTCTACAAAAGAGAGGAGGAAGCTTGTATGAAGATACACACATTTTTGGCTAAGTTCTAGGGAGAAAAAGAGTGAGTCTTGAGGCTTTGGAGTTCTAGCTTGCTTGAGCACGAAAATGGAGGGTGGATTTCCTTCTTCTCCTTCATTCCTTGCTCTTATGGGTAACTAAATCCTTCTCTAGGGAGGTGATGAAGCTTTCCCTTGTAATCATGTTCTAGATTAGGCTCTATTTTGGGGATAATAATGTATAACTTTTGGTCTTTTCATAATCTAGAACATATTCCTTCTTGTAATGAATTCTAATGTTTATAAATGATTATTGTAAGTTAATTATCTTGTCTTAGATGGTTTCTTATATTAATCATAATGCTTGCATATTCATAGTGACAATGGAAATAAGATTATGAATGGTTTTCAAGGTATGTTGATAGAGAAAGTTGATAGTCCATTGCTTAGGAATTCCCTTTGATGGTTTATACTTGATTCCCAGCTTCATGTGCTTTATCATTTGATCAATGGCTTGATGATCTTTTGCTTAAGATAGTATATTTGATACTACACCCTAGTTTAGGTAGTTCAAATGTATAAACTTTTGATGGATCATTCTTGTTTGGATTTAATGAACTTCTTGATGATTATAGGCCAATCATGTGTTGCTATATAATTCTTGACCATCAGTTATTTATTGTCAATCCCCAATTTAGTCTTGATCTAGCATGTATTTAGGGTTTAGCGTAGATTCACTTCCCTAGTCCCCTATTTAATTGTCTTTGCCTCTTTACTTCCTAGCATTTGTGTTTTATGCATTTTTTAATCCATAACTTTAGTGACAAACCAACAAATCTCAATACCCCTTCATCATTCTAAAAATGATTTTAGACACCTAGGTTGCCATAAACTAGCAGTCCCAGTGATTCGACTTACCCAACCAATAGCCCTATTTTACAATAATTTGTGCTATTACAAAAGTTGATGTATAATTGTCATACCAATCAGGGAGCTAAACTCTAGATAAATCTCCATTACCGAACCCAATACTGATACTACCTGAAGTGATAGTATTTACCAAGGACAATCTCCTTAACTTGTGGGCAGTCCTTAGCTTGGATCGGTATACCTTCTCTGATTCCTGATCATCTTCTGACCTCCCATGTATCACATGGATTATTTTCACTTGGGTTCCCTTGACTTTCCAAAGTTTGGTTTCCCTCAGCCTTACTGGTTCGTTTGGTGAGAGGTAGTCCTTTTGCTCGCCCTTGGCTATCATGTTCTCCACTTGTCGCCTTAGGGATCTGCAATCGTTGGTTGTATGCCCGTAATCCCTATGATAAGCGCAGTGCTTGCTCTTCTCCCTTTGCTCTAAGGGTTGTTTCATCGACTGAGGAGCTGTGAACCTCAGTTTGTTTTCTTGGACTAGCTGAGCTAAGGTAATGTGGAGAGGGGTAAACCTTTCTTCTGTCCTTTGCCTCTTCTCAGGTACCTGAACGGCTGGTGCTGAGGCATGCTGGTTCTTTTGACTTTTTGTGCTTGATACTTTTTCCCAAGGCTTATTTTCCATTGTGATAAGGGTGGCATGCTGTGCTCGGTAAGCCACGTTCTCCTCAAGCTAGATGTAGACTTGCACCCTAGCATTGAAAGTTTATATATCCGGAAGAGAATACTTTACTAAAGAAGTATGGAACTTAGTTCTCTGAATCATTCCGAGCATAAATGTTTCTATTGTTGTTGTAGGATGACAGTCTGCTATTTCCGAGGCTTCTATGTTAAACCTGGACAAGAACTCGTGCAAGGTTTCTTTTCTTTTCTGCCTTATGGTAAATAGACTAGCAATGGTCTTCTTCTGCTTCTTGTTTCCGTAATATTGTGCTAAGAACACAGCACACAAGGTTTCGTAATCCGGGATGGATTTGTGGGGCCTATTCCTAAACCATTCTAATTCAGCTCCTGTTAGACTGGTTGGGAAAACTTTACATATGAATAGATCATTATGATCGTCTAGAGCCATCTTCTGCACGTAATGGTCGAGGGGATGAGAAGGATCTCCTGTACCATCGAATTAAGTAAAGGACGGCATAGAGAATTTCTTAGGTCTGTCAACAAAGTATATGTCATTAGTGAACGGAGTTCTCACCAAAGATTTCTTATACTCTTTGGCCATTTCAGCGGGGGTCTGAATCCTCAAGAGCCTCTTCTCGTCGAATGCATCTTGGACGCCTGCTTCACTCAGAATGCCATTAGTCCATACCGTAAGCTTATGGCTGGACTTAACCTGTTCGTCCTGCGTACGGCAAGGATGACTGTCCGAAGCAATAACCTCGGTCCCTATCTTCTGATCTTGCCGAACTTCATTAGGCCAAACCTCGATGGTCCGCGCCCCACTGGCTTGAGGCTCGTTAATCAGAGGAATGTTTTGATTAGGGGGAGGTGCTACCGTATCACCTGGTGGAGGCTGCGGTGCCAACTGAGTCATTGCCGTTTGAAGGGTATCGTTCTGTTGTTAAAGTAATGCAATCTGGGCTACACTAGCTTCGTTCGCCTGACGAAGCGTCTCGAACTAGTGTAAGAATTCCTCTCGCATCTTTTACATCAACTCTATCTATTGACCATCTGTTGCTGAAGGTCCTCCGTTTGACATTTTGGATCGTAACAAAAGAATTAATCCGAGACAAAGGGGGGAGTATATTTCTATACGTTTCCTACAGACGGCGCCAAAGTGTTGGTGCAAAATTTCTCTCAACTAATCATAATTAAAAGAAAAATACAACTCACTCAAAAATTAATAATAATAAACAACAACTGTGTCTAGAGGATCGTAGAATTGCTCGATCCCTTTATTGGAGGTCTATGCCTCTATTTATATACAACAATGTGGTAGAATTATGGTAGGACTCGCACTGCTTGTCCTCCAATTCTTACTATATACAACATTCTTTACAAATGGAGTTCTTTCCTTTGTCTAATTCTTTCCATGTCAAAGTTTCCTTGCATAGAACCTTCCTTCTGCGTTGAGTCCTTTGCTTAATAGGACTGGACAATATTTAACTGTACTTGGGCTGGATGCAACTTGATTTAAATGACTTGACCAATGGGCCAGAACTTCAACTGTAGTGACGTTGGGCTGATTAATGTCACTACCCGGTCTTGGAGGTCCAATATAAATGATATTGGATTAAGGAGCAATGTAATTTGGGCTTGATCCAGATGGGCTTCTTAAATTTACTAAGGGTAAATTTACATAGTGATGACGTGTTCAATTCTCATTGGAGGGGATTTTTTTTTCCCTCCACACTTAGCACACAAGAAAAAATAAAAATTACATAAAAGTTTGGGATCAACATTATGGAGACATAAATCTATTTCATAGGAGGAATGTTGAACATGATAAAGTAACTTTTTTGTTTCTTCAATTAACTTGACAACTAACATTACACTCGTAATAATCCAAAAAAATAGAAGTGCAATAACAGTGCATTTAGTCAACATTCAAAAATATAAAAGACACACATTGAATTCATAAAATAAATAATAATAATAACAAGGAGGAGAAGGAGGAGGAGGAGGAGGAGAGAAAATAAGAGAACTTGATTGGAAGAAAATAGGATTTGATTGAAAAAGGAGATTATAACTTTTTTCTTCTAAAAAAATCAAAGGAATTTGAATGGTAAAAATGAAATGAAAGCGAAAATTAAGATTGTTCCAGCAATTGAAAATTTTAGGGAGACATTATGTAAAAAAAAAATTATAGATATATGTACATAGAAAAAGGGCATACATGCATTTACCAGACGAGGCCTGGGCTGGGAGAGCGGAAGGAAATGCCCCCAGTATGATTTGGAACTTATTTTAATACTCGTAGTTCATACGCATATAAGTGAAATAGAAAAATAAAAAGCAAACAAATAAAAAAAATCATTATAGTAGCAATAATTAATAAAGCAATAATTAATTGATATAACTTTCATGAGTAATGTGATGTGAATGTGTCAGACCCGAACTTCGACATACAAGTTATAACATAGTTCAAGGTTGGTTAACCATTATACTACATCATTTAACATCAAATGTAAGATCTTGTCCCATGTTAAATTAACATGTTTGTAAGGAACTTAACCCCTCCAATTAGCTTTGATACGAGTTGTTAGGGCAGAGACACAACAACCATAATCTCTGATACTGATTGTTAGAAATTCAGTCACAACATATGCATACAATCATTACATCATGAATCATACATAACATGGAGATACAATCATACAACACTCAAGCTTAGGACGCAATAATTTTACATGATTCACCCAACCTTTAGGCTATATCCATGGAAATCTCCAATATGTATTTATTTTTTTTATTATTATTTTTTTTCCTGATGAGCAAGACAGAGAACATAAGGAATGGGGAGGATTAACCTGATTAGCTTTAGTGGTAATTTGACAAAAAATTTTACATATCTCTAGGTGCTCACGGTTTTTTTCAAAAAATGTCTACACAAGATGGAGCCAGTCATAACATATGGATTAAGACCCAATCCCCAGCTAAAAATGGGAGAGTGTAAACAAGCCTATGAGGGTCACATCATCGAGGATGCTAGGTCCCAAGAGGGAGTAATTGTGACGTCCTATGTCGCCAAGGGGAAGAGCTTTGATGACACTTATATGTGTAGACCTACTAATTGTGTATATGCGTGTTGAAAAACATGAGCACGAAAAAGGTGCAAAACGAATAATATTTACAAAGGGTGAGTGAGTCGTGAGAGAATTTCACTTGAAGATTTGAAACTTGAAATGTTATGTTGGTTTAATTATTATACTTAGAAACTTGAAATGCTAATGTGGCTTGATTACTAGATTTCTTCAAAATATATATACACATATAATGTAGTACAATCATTAATGAAATAGTGAATTTCAGATTTGAAAATCAAATTGCACATAGATATATAAATTACCGGGTTTGGTGTTTTACCGTCACCACCATGTTTTTTTTCCTGATATTGGATTTCCTTCAATATCATCATAGACAACTTGGATGGAAATAATTTCCGTTGTGGAGTGTATAATTAGTTCCCTCACCGTACTGTAGGTTCCATCATCCCAGTGTAGCCCACTAACACCTCTAAATGGACTAAAAGGTGTTGTGGCATGGATTTGGTGGGATGGTTTTGTTAGGATTTATATGCCCTAGCATAGCAAATTCCTATTTAGATTAAAGTGACATATGTTCCTGACATATCTGAAATATTTATGATTTATATAATTGGTGAATTCAATGTATTATGTTTCGATTC